CATGGTCCCCCCCAGCTCCCCAGAGAAGTGACATTTGTCGTTATGAGGGGCATCTCTCCCATCTTATGGAACCCACTTCTCTTAGGTTCCCGCTTAACAGAAACAGCCTAAAGGCAGACCCTCCCCAGGGCCTCCCCATCTTACCAAACACTTTTTCCCTTCTCTGGTTTTCTGCTTTTACTTTTCTCTCTCACACTCCCAGGCCCTTAATTATACCCTGGACTTGCCAGCCGCCCCACCAAAGGGAAACTGGGTGCCCTGTGGAGCAGGAAGCTTGGTGACTACATCCTTCCTTCTCCCCACCCAACAGAGACAGCCCTGTCTGGTTGCCTCTGGTGGCTTTTTTTTTTTCTCTTGATAAAAGTTATATGATAAACTCTGGCTTTCTGACGACTAACCTTACAATTCGTACAGTACCAGAAAGGCTGCGTCCTCCTACAGCAGAGGGCTCGCAGCATCTTGTATCTTTTAAAAACATTTCAGTAGTGAGGTGGAAAGTCGGCCGTAATTAAACCTTCCCTGGCTTATGAGATAAGCCTATTAGCAATTCCGCGCTGTATTCATACAGATAGGAACACAGAAAGACATGAAAATGAGAAAACTGGGGGGAAAGGTTGGTTTTCAAAACTAGGAATCTTAGAATGGATTGAAAATGGATAGTAAATGTCACCTAAGAATGTTTTACATTTAGAGAATTGTTAAAAAAAAAATGAAAAGTGTTTAACTCATGGGGCTACAAAGATGGCTCAAGTGTTTAAAAGCACTCTAGAGAGGACTGAGTTTGGTTCTCAGCACCTACATGAGATGGTTTACAACCATCTGTAACTCCAGTTCTTGGATGATCTCATACCCCTTTTGGCCTCCTTGGGTATCAGCATACACACCAGCAGACATACAGGCACATACCATAAAAACCATCATTATAATAGAGAAAGTATATTTAACTCAGTTAAAAAGCCTGCCCATCCTTCCGAAATGGAGAAGTATATTTTCAAGTATTTAAATAATAGAGCATCTTAGGAAATGTGGTGAAATCTAAGACAAAAATCTCAAGGCAAAGAATATTAATCTAAATATAAATATAATATATAAATAATATCTAAATATCTGGTGCTGTTTCACCAGAGTGGAGGCAGGCACCCTGATAATGCCAAGAACTTTCTACAGTCTGCGAAAGACTTCACTAAACATAGCCAAGGCTTTTAGGAGACAATTGTCCCGGATATGTTGATATTGGTAGACCAACTTCTAACAAACCTAAAGCCTATGATTCGTTTCATATATGGCTTATGTAACCTGAAGGCATAATTAAAATCACTGGTTCCTTAAGGAAAAATCGTTCAGAAATACCCCAGCAATGTGTCCGAGTATCCACAGTTCCCCCACGTCAGGAGTTCCTTATCTGGAACCCCAGAAAATGACTCTACACAACATAGACTAGAACCTGCGATTTTCTACATCCGAACCATCGGCTGTGCTCAATCAGCTCTCCACAAACCCATAACACCGAGACTATAACGCTATGGTAATTCCCTGGCATATATTCCTTTCCAGCTCACTGATTGAAACCTGAAGTACTTCTTCCTATCAATTATCTCGTGAAGGCAGCACAAAAATGTAAGACGTCACAACAGCGGTTATCTAGAAAAGACGAACGCGTCAACCGGCTAAGCAGAACAGCAGCCACTCGGCAAACAGCCCTTCGCAAGGCTGCGTTCTGAAACCACGTTCTTCTTATACAGGAGTTGCAGAAGCTGAACAGAGAGTTCAAGTACCCCCCTTTGCATAGCTGCTCCAGTGCCAACGCCTTAGGCAACCAGAGCAGAATTACCCACAGCAACAGTAGGCAGTACGACCCAACCCAGACTGCAGTCATCTTTCCACAGTTTCCTCACTAGCATCCTTGAAGGGCTCAAAACTAAACTTCTGTTGTCAAGGGCCCACGGTTAACAAAGTTATGCTGACTTAATATGTTCCTCACACGGGAGGCAGAGAGCCGACTCGGGCCTGTCTCTGTACGACAGATCTTTCCGGGCTTCACACATTGGGCCTCCCTCCTATGTAGAACTAAAGCCTTCCCTGTCCAACACTTACGACAAATTGGCTTTTGAAAACGGGGTCAAAGTGGAACGGCTTGCCAACTGCTGGGCTCCTCACCACAGAAAAAGGGTTGCTTATGCAATGTTATTTACCTCTCTGGATGCCTTTATTGGTGTCTTTTCGCAGAGGATAGTTTTAAACAAGCTAAGCCTGAAGACAGAAAGTTAACTTGACTGATTTTGCCTAACGATTTGAAAGGGTGAAGATGGAAAAATACCTTTTGAGTGAAATACATACAGATTATAAAAATCCACATGGGCCCAAAACTTAAATTCTTTTACTTTCTACTGAGTCCATTTCTGATGTCTGGAATCAAATAAATAAATAAACAAATAAACAAACAAACAAACAAATAAATAAATACAAGCCTAACTCGCTTCTATTTCTATATTCTATAAATGACTGATAATGAGTCTTAACTCCAAACCATGAGACGGACACCGAGGGGAAAATGTAAGCTCAGATTGTAGCAGGGCAAGGGCCCAGGGCTTGGAACATCCTGGGCAAGATCACAGCCCCTGACTACAGTCAATGTCTGTCTGCCTTTCAAGAATCAGTCTCTCCCTCCTCCTGGGGCCAGTCGCTTCAGACGCAAGTTCAAAGCCTGCCAAAGGCCAAAGGCGGTGATGCGCACTAAACTTAGGAAATAAGTAGTGAGCGCCTGCTGTTAGGTCCAAAAGTCCAGTCTTTTCCAGAAACAGGAGGGATCGCTTTGTCCTCAAGGAGCTTACAGTCTAGCTCTAAGGACGCCTCATTGTTCTCCCAAATCAGGCGAAAAGCAGCCAGCTACAGCAGAACCCTATGAGGAAGGAAATGCCAGTGTCGCCGCATCAAAACGGATCTTCCCAACATGCACAAAACAAACCCAACAACCATCACTTTCCCAGGGCAGCATGCCCCTGGCCTCTGTGTTTTCCAAAAGCTAAAGTGTGTGTGTGGGGGGGGGGGGTGAGACATTCGATGTGCAGCAACAAGTCCAATATTTGCAAACAGGGACTTTGCCAACATCAGAGTTTTAGATTTTCCACATTTTTAAATGATCATTTGTATGCAGCCCTTTGTCTCCCTTCTCCCCACCAGCATGCCAGGATAACTAACTTCCCAAAAAAGAATGAGAAGGTGCTTCCAGTCAGATGTATAACTCCACAAACAGAAATGCATTTTTCCCAAAAGGAAAACCGGGATAAATGTTAACAAAAGCTTAATTCAAAGGATCGATTAATATTTAAGAAGAGTACCCATGAGCCATATTAATACTTTTGCCCACCTTACACAGAATTTAAAACTCCATCACAATGAAACCTGACAGCTTAAAGGTCAAAAGAGAGTTAGGCATACTCGTAAAGAGAAAAACAAAACAAGGCCTTCAAACTCAGCTTTTAATACCAACGAGTCAAAAGACTTACAAACCAACACACCCGCTAATAAGAGAACACAGCCAAAATCTGTATCCACTTTCCATCAGACGGTTGTGCATGCGTACATTAACGCCTCTTCAGCACGCGCAATTTTCATGGTGTTAAGGAGACACTAAGGGAGGGTAAGAGCATTTCTCTAGTAAAGTTGGTGGTTTGGATTTCTTTCAATGCACAGCTAAGGATCAGCTCCCTTCATCTCTGCCACCAACTGCTCTAGAGGGTCTCAGTACCAAGCTTGACACAACCTTCTGTGCCTATAAACACAAAGCACCAACATCCCAGGGTGCCGAGAAAGTCAAGCCTCATGCTGTCACTAGCCAGAAGTCTATGCTACTTTAATGTTTGTAAAACGCACCCCTTGCTTTCATAAAAGTTACGTTCACCAAAAAAATAAATAAAAGCCTCCTCCCCCCGAAAAGACACGGAACCCCATTTTATACCTAGTCTGCAAGGTTAAATGCATCATTTCCATTCAAATAAAAAGGCAAAACTGCACTGCCACCATTGTGTGTGGACATTCATGAAACTAATAAACACGATAAACTGCGCGAATGTTGTCAGCATTTGCCAAGCATCCACGTGTGTCCTCCTGGGACAGAAAATACTAGAACTAAGCTCTGGGACTCTGTGTCAGCTTCGGTCTCGCTCCTGACCCCTGACTCGTGTCCACGACCCTCTATCTCCACCAAGAGCTCCTCGGGGCTCGCGATGTCTGGCTGTGTGCAGCCTGAGCCTGGCTTGGTACAGACAGCCATCCCCTCCTTTCAGCTGGGACCCCCGCGCAGCTCAGCTGGGTTAGCAAGTTGTCATGGCCCAGGCGGCCCTCTGTTAGGGAGGCCGAGGGTGGGGTCCGGGCGCCCAGCCACAGTGGCCAGGGCTTGGGGAGCTGCGATTCCTCTAGGGTCGCGGAGACCTCCCGCGGTGCAAAAAGGGAACCGCTGGCACAGGAAGCCCGAGCAACCGCGGGGACCCGCTGAGGTCGCCCACCGCGCCAGGCGGGCAGGGGGCAGCAGGGAGGTCAGGTTTCGGGAGATTGCCCGCTATACCACCCGGTTTGGGAGATCGCCACGGGCGCAGCTAAGCACCCGCAGCCCATGCTGGCCGCCACCAGGGTCGAGAGGCCCGCGCAGCGCCTACTCCAGGCGGCTGCAGCTGGGAACTTCAAGCAAAGTTTTCTGCAGCTCCTGCCCCAGCCGCCCAGGGACCGGGAGCCCCGAGAACAAGTCCAGGCCCTAAGGTGACAGGCGCCGAGATGGAGGTCCCGCCTCCTGTGCTTGTCCTGCAGGCTCCTGCGTGTGCTGCACGGGCCCCGGGGCTCGGCGGTAGTTGCTTTCCCTCCGGCCATCGGCTAGCCCGGCTCACCCGCTACGCGATGCCTGGTCCAGCGCGCTCCTGCCCGGCCCCAAAGCTCGCTCGGACTGTTCCACTCAGGAGTAGCCTACGTCCCATGCGCCCCGGGAACTACAGGAGCGGCCCGCTTACCTGAAAACGTCTCCCCGGCGGCAGTTAGCAAAAGTCCAGCCAAAGTCACCAGGCAAGTCCCAAGTGTTCTCATGGTCCTGAGTGCACGCCGGGCCGCCTCGGGGCGGCGGCGGCCGGTAGACGCGGGAAGCCGAGGGGTAAGCGAGCCTAAGCTGCAGGCTGCCAGCGTAGACGCGACAGCAGCGAGACAGCAGACCCCAAAGTGGCAACAGTTGCACAAGTCCGAAGTCCCGCGGTTCCCGGGCTTGGGGACCGTGTTCTGGGTCCTCCTGCCCTCCTGCCGGCCCCCTCTTGGAGTCTGGCGTCGCTGGGAGAGGGAGCGGAGGGCGCGTCCGCCGAGCCCAAATCCTCGCTGGGATCCGGCGCTGCGCCCGCCTAAGCGCTGCCCCTGATCGGGACCGAGCCGCCCGCGGCGCCGTGGCGGTGGCCGTGGCCGTGATCGCGCGCCCGCTGTCCGCCGCCTCTCCTCCCGGCAGCGCCAGCCACCTCGGACGGCGGCGCGCTGATGGCCAAGCCCGCGCCGGCTGCGCGCGGGGCTCCTGCTCCGCGACTGACTGGCGGTGCCCCGCAGGCCGGCTGGAAGGAGCCCACGTCACGGCCGGGCCGGAGCCGCCGCGGCCCGCTAGAGGGCGCGAGCGCCCGTGTCCCCGGCCCGGGGCCAGCTCGGCCTGCGCGGCGCCTGCGGGCTCCGTGGGGCGGCCACTGCCAAGACGCGGGCGGGACCCGGCGGGCAGGAGCAACCGCCCGGGGCGCCACCCTCGACCCTAGCTCGCCCCGGCAGCGCCTGGGGCTTCCCACGCTGACCTCAGGGACAGGGACCGCGCCCCAACCAGAAGTTTGTCCCGGGTCACGGGCGGCGAGGAGGAGTTGGAACGCGCCAGGCACGGGGCGGCAGTGTCCCCGGCGGCGGCGGCGGCGGCGGCAGCCGGCTTGTTAGCGTCGGGAAGGAGCGGGAGCCGCCAGCTCCCTGGGTCGCTCGGTCTGCAGCTTGCAAGGGGCATGAACGCCGCTGTGCCCGAGCCCCGCGCCCGGGAAGCAGGACGCGCTTCTGCCACTCCGCTGCGCCGTGTGGCCGCTAGTGGGGCACGGAGCTCGGAAGGCAGCAGTCGTATGGAACCAGGGTTTGGGCAGAAATGGTGATTTCTGTATCTGGTGCAAATGGACGATGAATCAAACAACGTCTTAAAATAATTTTGTCGGTTTTCATTAAGAGAACAAGAAAGCTACGAATGATTAAATATAAAGTAAAATTCAAGTTTTTGTTGTAATTCTGTTTTTTGGTGTGTGTGTGTGTGTGTTTCTCCTTGCTCACAGTAACTATTAGGGCACCTGCAGGCTATTTACCAACCTAACTGCGGGCAATCACGCTTAAATTAGGACTGCATTTGTGTTCTGAGACTCATGGGTTAGTGGTCAATAGCCAGGATCCAGAGCTCTCCCCACTGCTTCACCGGGAGGCTCCTCCGGGCAGTTGTCACTTGCTTTGTCTTGCTCTTAAAGACTATAGACAAAAACAAACTCCTCAGTCCTGTTGTTGAAGGCTCTCCACCCAGAAAATTTCTGTGTCTGTCAGACCAAACACATTACCAGTATTTTCTTCGAGTATCCCTTTCAGAAGGTCCTGGTGAGGCCTTTCGCTTAGAAGTATCCACGTTAATCACTCGCTTACCACCACCACCACCCCCCCCACACACACACACACACACACATCACCATTTGGCTTTATCAGATAGCGAACCTGCTGGGCTTAGCCTGCACCTGGAAGGGAAATTTTGAAGACTCATACTTATTCCAAAAGAACCAACTAGTGACAGGTCAGATCCGCAACCTGACCTTTTGGATGAAATTATACTTTATAAGATAATTCAAATTTGTGTTTTAAAAGTAAATGATGACAAACTCCCCCCCCACCCCCCCACAAACCCGCCACAACATTTTGATGCTGGTGGGAGCATCCATAAAAGAGTAAAAGCCAAACGTGGTCTCATTGCTTCCAAGGATGTCTTTAAGTCGGATTAATTGAGATCGCCGGGCGGTGGTGGCACACGCCTTTAATCCCAGCACTTGGGAGGCAGAGGCAGGCGGATCTCTGTGAGTTCGAGACCAGCCTGGTCTACAAGAGCTAGTTCCAGGACAGGCTCCAAAACCACAGAGAAACCCTGTCTCGGAAAAAAAAAAAAAAAAAAAAAAAAAAAAGAGTTTGAGATCAGGTAACATCCCATTCATGGCCTGTGTTAAAGCTTTCAGCCTTCAACAATGCAGTTCCCATTAGTCAACTCCCTGGAGGCTGTTTTAGGCTGGTGGCTCCTTCAGAAGCTTCCTTGAGCTGAGGGTGTAGCTTTGAATTGGGGGGGGGGGGCAGTGCTGTCCAACACTGAGGGGAAAGAACCAGAGAACCAGAATGAAGACAGCGTGCCACTGTGGCCAATCTGGGCTCAGTCCTCTGGGTTCCCTTGGATTTGGGTATCCCGCTGTTACTACAAGCCTATCCCAGTCCTCCAAGAAACTCTGTTTCTTCCATTTCTTAAGGCTTCATGGCGGGGGTGGGAGGGCTGTGAATATCTGTTGTCCCTGTGTTCTTGCAAGTGACAGTGCGGACCTAGCCACCCCATTTCCTTGCCGTCCACATTTAAGGAGTTTTTGCCTGCAGCCTCCTCTGATTCCTGCTTATTTACTGTCCCTTACAGGTGACTGCTCAAAGCCACCATTGGTCTAAATAAAGAGAAAATAACCAGAAAGTCAGGACTCCTCAGGGGGATATTTCTGCAGGGATCTTCCCAGCGGACTTGTCTTTGACTTGTGTTTTCAGCTGTAGAGATTTCTCTGTCCAGTCTAACCACCACTTGTCACTCCTGCCTCTCTGGGGACAAAGGTGACATTTGCAGAGTTGGTTGGCCAAAGTGAGGAGTGCTATCAGGGCCAGCTTGAAAAGCGTAAATTCTGGGGGAATAAAAATGAACCACTCTCCAGGCGGTGGTGGCGAATGCCTTTAATCCCAGCACTCAGGGAGGCAGAGGCAGACGGATCTCTGTGAGTTCAAGGCCAGCCTGGTCTACAAGAGCTAGTTCCAGGACAGGCACCAAAAGCTACAGAGAAACCCTGTCTCAAAAAAAAAAAAAAAAAATGAACCACTCAGCAGATGTTTTCAGATATTAACCAGAATGGCAAAGGCGGCTTCCTAACATAGCTCGAAAGAGAACCAAACTGAGGCATGAGAAAGGGTTTGGGTTATTTCTTTCCATTTCATTTTTTTTTTTTTGGACAGGTGATGTGGGATTCCCATCTGTATGCTGTGAAAATGTTTTATTACCATTGGTTAATAAAGAAGCCACTTTGGCCTATGACAAGGCAGAATATAGCGAGGCGGGAAAAGCCACACTGAGTACAGGGAGAAAGAAGACCTAGTCGAGATATGTCAGCAGCTGCTAGAGAAGCAAGATGTGAGGTAACCAACCTTGAGCCTCATGGTAAAATATAGAATAACAGAAATGGGTTTAATATAAGTTGTAAGAGCTAGTTAATAATAAACCTGAACTAATAGGCCAAACAGTATGTAATTAATATTAAGCCTCTGAGTGATTATTTTAAAAGCAGTTGCAAGAACAGGCAGAACAAGAAACCTCCAGTGACAGAGAGGGGCGTTGGCAGGGATTGAACTCAGGGCTTCACGTATGTTCTACACATGCTTGTATACCTTTGTGACACTCAGGCAGGAAAGCAGGCCATCGGGGCACGTTAGTGAGCAGGGCCACTGACTGAACTGTGCAGGGACACTACTTTTGATCATAGTGATTCTGTTTCTAACTTTTGTTCGAGATCCATAAAAGCCAAAAGGTAAGCCCAATCCATCTACCCAGAATGTTACTTACAATGACTATGGAGGTTAACCATGGCAGGAAGTTCCTAAGACATCCCAAACTCTCTGCAGCCACCTAAGTGTGATCCCAAGGAGAGGAAGTTCACATTCTTCTTATGACTTTTCTCTTCTCACCCTTCATGAAATAACTCCCCATGTTTAGGTATTTGTTGGGATGGCGGAAGTGCCTTTGATATAAGCAGAAAATGGAAATGGATGTTGTATAGGTCACACAACAATGTGTTCTCTTGATCAAAGTATATCAGGAAGGTGGGAGGAGATTAATTCTGAATTTGAAACCTACTGTGTAGGTAAAGTCAGTTTTGGTGCTGCCTGGTTTGCACAGTATTCTGTCTGAAAGGCCCATGTAAACTCTGAGACAGTGAGCAAGTGTGATTATTATGATGGTCTCTGATTAAGCAGGGGTTTTAGGCATCAGCTGTACTCAGTCTAGGCTCCCAGACCCCATTTTAACTTGAGGGACTCTGTAGAGTTCAGGGGTCGCTGAGCAAACTTGTCTGTGTGACATGCAAGTCCTTGGGCTCATGTGTCCTTACCACATGCAGCCTTCCACTTTACTCAGCTCTGGGCTCTTTGTTTATCTGATGCATTGCTGGGGACCAAACCCAGGGCCGCACCTATACCTATACCAAGTGCTTTACCTCCCAGTTGCACCCTCAACCCCCATCTATCCCAACACATACTGCATTCCACAGCAGCAGCCTCCTTAGGAATGTGGTCTTACTCCCTCAGACCAGGGAGTTGAAAAGGAATCTATCTATGGCTGCTGCTGTTTCTGAGGAACGAGATCAAGGTTCATATCTGGTGCCAAGCTGCTTGCTGGCGAGGCCCTAGGCAAGAGACAAAGAAGGACACACATGTATATGTCTTCCCTTCTTAGAAAACCACTTTTGCTGGGCTGGAGATGTGGTTTCGTGGATGCTGTTTGCCTAGCAAGACCCTGGGCTCATCGCCAGCATTGAAAAACCACAGTCAATGGCATTAAATCGCAGGGCTCATTCTGACGGCCCTTGTCTAACCTAGTCATGTTGATGGCTGCTTCTATAAACATGACAGTTGGAGAACGTTTCTACACTCTTTACTGTCCTAAGGAAGGTGGAACTCTTCAAAGAGAGCACCATCAGGTAGAGGGGACATGTAGTATCCAGTAGTGAACGTGTTTGCATGGTTGTTGCACAAGGAGGGGGCCCTTTGTTTGTCCCAGCTGCCTGGCTATCTTACACCCCAAATAATCCCACAGAAACTATATTCATTTAAACACTGCCTGGCCCGTTAGCCCTAACTTCTTATTGGCTAATTCTTACATATTAGTTTAACCCATCTCCATCAATGTGT